GCCATCCTTGTCAAATAACGAGATAAAAGCTAATTTGATTCCTGGCTTCGAGCTTAACTTGGCTGTTACCTATCTACCTCTTTGGCCTGCTTCAAGCTGATACCTCATTTTATCAACTTCAAAGTTACCTCATATGTTGCATATGTACAGTAATGCCATATCTGATCTCTATAAGGTTACCTGCTTTTTGTTTTTACCTCAGGTTACCTCAGCATAGAATAGGGAGACATTACCTCAGACGGTGATTTGAGAAGAGGAGGCAGAATAATACTGAATTCTATCCTGAGGTAAAATTGGCCCGAAAATTGACCTAGGCGCCCAGAAGCGCAAAAGAAGAAACAGGCGGGAAAGGGACGGATGGCCCGTGAGGAGAATCGCCCAAACAGAATCGGGATGAGGAACGAACCACCGGGGGGGAAAAGGCCTTTTATTTCAGATTTTAGTCGGTTTCTCAGGCTGGACAGATGAAAGCAGGCCGTGTGCGTCGCCAATTCGACTTTTTTGATCACCGAGTGGTGGTGTAGAAGGTCCCTGCGTAGCCTTCATTATGGGAAAGGCGGCGCCGGGAAGCAGCACCGCGGGAGGCCTTTTATTCGCGTGTCGGCGTGTTCAGAAGACTCGGGAGGCGGGGCGACGGGGGAATTCCGGGAGTTGAAGTCTCAGAAATTGCCTGTTGAAGGGGCGGGGCGGAAGCCAGAAGGCAGGGCGCGGGACCGGCGGAGGGGCGGGGCAACCGCTTCCGTCGCTAAGCAGGGTCGCCGTGCGCGCTCCTGCGGCCGGAGCGGTGTCGGCGTGAGGTGTGGGGGACCGCGCAGCAGCAGCGGCGGCGATGGCGGCTCCGGGGGTCGCGGCGGCGGAGGTTTCCCCGGAGCGGCTGGCCGAGGTGGAGGCTCTGCTGGCGGAGCGGGTGTCGGAGCCGGTGCGGGCGCGTTGGCGCTGGGAGGTCAACCTGGGACAGCCGAACCTGCAGCGGTTCCGGGCGCAGCTGAGCGAGGCCCGCCGAGGCAGGGACACCCTGCTGGCCCGGGACGCGGCGCTCTCGGAGGCGGAGCAGCAGCGGCTCCAGGGTTTCCTGAGGCTGGAGATGGCGCTGCTCCGCTGGTTCCAGGCGCGCAACGAGCGCGAGGCGGCGCGGCGGGCCCGACGGAGAAAGCCCGTCGGCGGTACGAGTGGAGTGGCCGCGTCTGCCGCGGGCGGCGAGAGGTCTGCTGCGGCACCGCCGGCCCTGGCCAAGGAGGAGGAGGCGGACAAAGAGCAGCCGGTGCCGGCCCAGCCAGCAGCCGCAGCCGCGCCCACCACTTCAGTGGAGAAGGTGACGGCTCTGCGGGAGGCGCTCCTGGGCGTGACGGTGGAGTTGGAGGCGGCCGAGGGCCGGGGGCGGCCGGTGCGCGCCGCGCGGAAGCTGGAAGGGGCCCTGGCGGCGTTCCTGGACGACCAGCTGTGGGAGAGCCTGCGGGAGTTGGGCCGGGCGGTGCGGAAGGAAGGACGCATCCGGGCCCGGCAACTGCTGGCCCTGCGGGAGGCCCTGGAGGAAGAAGGCTGGGCCGAGAATGCCGATGCGTTGCGGAGGGAGCTGGAGGGGCTGCGCACCGGCCTGCAGGAGGCGTCGCTGGAAGGGCTGCAGCCGATGCTGGAAAAGGCCGAGGCGCTGCTGCGGAAGACGGACTGCTGGGAGGTAGCCTGCCTGGAGAAGGGCTTGTGGGCAGGCCCTCTGGAGGAGGCTGAGATGGCCCGGAGAGAAGCCGAAGCCTTTCGCCGGACCCTCCAGCAGGTGCCCCTGGGGCAGGGGGAGGCAGCCCTGCGAAGAGCTGCCCGGGAGGCGCCTGTGAAGGAGGCGCATGTCCTGTGGGAGAAAGCGGCGGCCCTGGAGACGCAGGTGCTGGCCTTCTGGTCAGACACGCTGATGCAGGCGGAGGTGCTGCTGGCCCAGGTGGACTCCCTGAGGAGCGCCCTGCAGAACTCCTCCCTAAAGGAAGCCCTCTGGGAGAAGGTGGAGGAGCTGCAGGATGCCTTGCGGGAAACCACCAGGGAGAAGGTTGGCCTCTTGCCCTTGGACATTTGGGGCAAGAGCCCACGGGAGATGTGCAGCCGCCTGTATCAACTCTGCCAGGATTGGCTGCAGCCAGAGAAGAAGACCAAGGCACAGATGCTGGATCTGGTGATCCTGGAGCAGCTGCTGGCCGTGCTTCCTGCAGAGATGGCCAGCTGGGTGCGGGAGTGTGGAGCGGAGACCAGCGCCCAGGCAGTGGCCCTGGCCGAAGGCTTCCTGTTGAGCCAGGCGGAGAAGCACCAGCAGGAAGAGCTGCAGGTGAGAGAACACCCTCTCTGAAGCTATGCATTAATCGAGAATATCTTTGAATTGAGCATTTTCTCCACTTTCCCACCAGAATATGTATTTGGGGCACTTGCTCCATTGTTCTATCTGCATCAGCAAATTTGAGAGGTTTTATCTAAACCTTCACTTCTCTTTTCCATCTCTAGGTATGTCAGATGCAGCAGCCCTTTCTGGAAGCCATCCCGAGGCATCCTAAAAGGAGCAAGGATCTGTCAGATGCCTCTCAAGGGCTGCCTTTCAGGGAGATCCCCCAAGAAGATCCAGGTTGGGACATCTCAGGAGGTAAAGGGAGTCTTTCAAAGGAACCTGACATTCTCAAGAAATGTCTCAATGCTCTGATATGGTCTTTAGTTCTTCACGTAATATTTGAAATTCTGCTTTAGCTCAGTGAAAGTCCCATGCAGGAAATCAAATTATGCCCTTGCTGTTTCTAGGATCGTCACCTTTTCCTGGTGGAACTGAAAGAATGGCTGAACCTCCAGTTCAGGTAGGAGAGAAACATTTAGGGGATCACTTGGGGTCCCCTTTTCCCCGGGACTCAACAGCATTATTGCTCTTTAAGCAGCCTGAAATGGAATGTGGCAGAATTAACTAGGAGATCCCTTTCAAGTCATGCTTGCTCTTATCAACTGGCACAGGGATCCAACCCTGGGGGTGGTTGGTGGCTAAAGGATGTTCCCTCCCTCTTTTTAACTCTTTGATCTTGTCTTTTTTGTATGGATTGCATAGTTTCTTATCTGTAAACTGCCCAGTCGCCTTAATAGTAAATATTTATAATTTGGGTTAATAAATCATACCAGACAAACAATCAGAAAACAATACTGTAATTCAGGAGCTGTCAAGAGGAAACCATCCCCCTCCACCATCCAACACTGGCCAGGCAAGCAACTGTATAAAAACAGATAGAAAACCTCACTCACTTGTGTTGATAATGTTGTCTAGCCAGGTAATGAAATGACTGCTAGCAAACGGCTCGGCTCAGCACTGAGCTACATATATTCTTTTCTCTTAGACAATAATCCATACCCAATCTTTGCTTGGGGAATTTGTTGAACAAAGGGTATGAGATGCAAAACCTTCCTGGATTACTAATGGAGAAAATTTTTTTTCCCCTTCCTTTTCCAGGGTCTTGTATCCTTTGAGGAGGTGGCTGTGTGTTTCTCCAAGGAAGAGTGGACTCAGCTGAATCCCCACCAAAAAGCCCTCCACGGGGAAGTCATGAGGGAGAACCTGAGGAATGTGGCCTCCCTGGGTAAGGGCACAGGCAGGTAGAAAAGGCATTTTGTGGAACCAGCTCTCTGGCCTAAAGCCAACCACACCAGAGGTGGTATTCAACAGGTTCTGACCAGTTCTGGAGAACCGGTAGCGGAAATTTTGAGTAGTTTGAAGAACCGGCCAATCTCACCTCTGACTGGCCCCTTCCCCACCTATTCTCTGCCTCCCGAGTCCCACCTGATTGGTTGGATCTTCTTTTGTTGCCCTGCACAGGCGAATGGAGCTGGAAAGCAGGTTAGTGGGGTGGGGAGGGAATGGGATTTTACAGTAACCTTCCCCTGCCATGCCCACCAAGCCATGCCCACAGAACCGGTAGTAAAAAAATTTGAATCCCACCACTGAACCACACCTTATATCTGGGAGAAGGAGAAAATACAAAAAATCTCCTTTACTGGTTCCAAAACACCTTACGCTGAAGCATACAGTGATTGAGGGACAGTGCTGGAGGCAGAGGTGGGCTTCTAAAGGGGAGGGATTGCAGCCTCCCTTTGTTGACTAATCAAAACTGATCCTTGTGATTGGACAGAGCAAACTGGATACAGCAAATCATATGCCTAGTGAAGTCAGGCATAACTATGAGGTTATGGGGCTGGACATAGTTTTTTAATAGATCAAAGAAATACTTTTTTGTAGCACAACATGTCCTACATTTGTATATAAACAGTCCCATTCAAGTAAAAAATTGGATTTTCCCCACAACTGAAAAACTGGTAGTCCAGGAATGAGGAATCTTTTATGGCTCACTCAGGAATTCTGGGAGTTGAAGTCCATAAGTGATTAAAACCAAGTTTCCTTACCCCGGTCCTAGGGGGTTACTATCTTCTGCTGTGCAGAGCTCTACCTGCTTCTCAGGATCTTTTCTTGATTGATAAAAACATTACTTGGCCTTCTTGGTGTTTTATGGCTGAGCTGAGAGTTTTAGTTTTCCTGGGAAAGTGTTTTTTGTAATGAAAGTAAAACCCAGGTTGACACCACATATTGAACAGTACTTTGTTTGCCCTGGAAACATACATTGAGTGAAGATTTCAGATTTTTTCTCATCTGAAACAAGAAGAGAATGTGTGGGAAAAGATATCTAGTGCAGAATAAAGAAAAAATCATTGATAGCAAGAGGCAAATATACTAACCCAATGTGCGGAATTGTTTTAGATAAATGGCTTTTAAAATTGTTTCTACAGCCTGTGAAATTTAAATTTCCATCCCGTGCAAATTTATATCAATAAAATTGATAGGAACCTGCACCAGGTCTCTAAATTTAATAAGCTTTAAGTCAGATTGTTTTACGTAGGTCAGAATAGCCTATAAAAATATTACTGAGGTTTTTGGGATTTGCAGAATTGGGATTCTCAATTATGTCACATGTTCTTGGTGATTTTATCCCCTTTCTGTTAGTTTAAACCCACACTTTTTTTCTTTCTCTCTGAAGATACTGTTGGGCAAGAGAACGTGTGCTGTAGGCAAATACTAGAAGCTCTCAGACGCAAAGAAGGAAGAAACCAAACGGAACTAAAAAGTCATGAGAGAAACCGGTCAAAGGATGGAAGCAGAAAGTTTTCTGCTCTTCAATGTGATGAAATTCAAGACAGAGCAGCCCTGCACCTTTCCAAAGGAAAAAGGACAAGGTGTTTTGGGAAAAGTGCGAAAACATTCAGAGAAAAATCAGATTTAAATGAACATGATCGAACTCACACTAAAGAAGAAGCTCATCAGAACAGGGAAGATGAAAAAAGTTACAGCTGGACCTTCATTCTTTCGTTACGTGATAGAATCAACATGGGGGAGAAACCCTACAAATGCAGAGAGTGCGGGAAGAACTTCAGGAGCAGCAGCCAGGTTACTTCCCACAGGAGGATCCACACGGGAGAAACCCTATAAGTGCCTGGAGTGTGGGAAGAGTTTCAGCTGGA